GAGTGACCCCTTGAGGGGTCTCAGGGGGGTCCCACAAAGCTCAGTGGGCCTTGTGACGGGGCCGGTCGAGGCTGCGCTGGGCGGCGCAGAGCTGGTAGCAGGCGTCGAGCAGGAGGGCACCGGGCACCAGCACCCACAGCCCGTTGAGCCCCACGAAGTACCCCCAGAAATAGAGGGGTCGGGGGTCGCTGTGGGTCCAGCCCTCCAGGGCCTCGGTGGCGAAGTACAGAACGTCCCCGTAGAGCTGCCCTGGGAGGGGACAGACGTGGGGACACGTGTCACCCACCCGAGGCATGGACACCAGGACAGGGGATGGGGACATTGGGACACCAGGAGAGCAGGGGGACAGGAATGGGGACACCAGGACAGGGGGATGGGGACACCAGGAGAGCAGGGGGACAGGGATGGGGACACCAGGGCAGAGGATGGGGACACTGGGACACCAGGAGAGCAGGAGGACAGGGATGGGGACACCAGGACACCAGGAGAGCAACAGGATAGGGATGGGGACACCAGGGCAGGGGATGGGGACACCAGGAGAGCAGGGGGACAGGGATGGGGACACCAGGGGGATGGGGGACACAGGAAGGGCTGTCACCCCCAGGGCAGGGACACCAGGACAGGGAGATGGGGACACCGGCACACCAGGAGAGGAGGGGGACAGGGATGGGGACACCAGGACAGGGGGATGGGGACATCGGGACACCAGGAGAGCAACAGGACAGGGATGGGGACACCAGGGGGATGGGGATGGGGGACACAGGAAGGGCTGTCACCCCCCCAGGGCAGGGGGACGGGGACAGCAGGGACGTGGGGAAGATAGGGATGGGAGACACGAGGACACCAGGGCCAGGTGTCACAGGGCTGGGGACGCCAGGCCAGGGGTCCCGGCCGTACCGAGGGACACGATGAGCTGCAGGACGTAACGGGCCGGGTGGCGGCGCAGGAGGGCGAGGAAGGTGAGGAAGCTGAGGGGGCCCCAGGCCCAGGCAGTCACAGTCTCCATGGCCACCGTGAAGTCATCGCTCCTGGAAGGGGGCAGGGGACACACAGAGGGGTTGGCCCGGACCCTCTGGAGCCCTCGGACCCCTCCTCCCCACCTCCACAACCCCCCCAAACTCACGTCATGTAGCGGCTGTCGGCCTTGGCGTATTCCTTCCCTGGGGACAGCGGGGAGTCACCGGGGGTGAAGGGCAGGCAGGTGTCCCCCACACCCCCCAGGGGACCAGGGCACCTGGGGGACCGCAAGCACTACTGCCAGCACCCAGGTGTCCCCCTCCCCAGGGGACCAGGGAACCTCCAGGGCCCCTGTTGCCCCTGGGGACCCCTCCTCACGTGTCCAGGGAACCTTCAGGACCCTCTGATGCCCCTGGGGACCCCTCCCTATGTGCCCAGGGAACCTTCAGGACCCCCCTGATGCCCTTGGGGACCCCTCCCCACGTGTCCAGAGAACCTTCAGGACCCCCCAATGCCCCTGGGGACCCCTCCTCATGTGCCCAGGGAACCTCCAGGGCCTCTCTGATGTCTCTGAGGACCCCTCCCCATGTGCCCAGGGAACCTTCAGGACCCTCTGATGCCCCTGGGGACCCCTCCCCATGTGCCCAGGGAACCTTCAAGGCCCCCTGACGCCCGCGGGGACCCCTCTCCAAAGGCACCCACGCGACCGGGACCCTCCCCAGGGACCCCAGCCCCACTCTGGGGTTAGACCCCCCAGCCCCAGCGGCTCCCCCCGTTACTCACAGACGTCTGCCAGCAGCCCGGTGTCGGCGGGCAGCTCCCGGTGCCGGAGGCTGAAATAACCCTCCAGGACCCCGTGGATCCCGGAGCACACGAGGAACCAGCCCAGCACCAGGCGGCGGGCGGGGCTCCGCGAGGCCCCGCCCTTGGCCCCGCCCCCTCCCAGCGCCCACCCCGCCCACAGCAGCGCCGCCGCCGCCACGCCCACCGCGCCTGCGCACTGCCAGCCGGGCCGCGCGCCGGCCACGTAACCCGGCAACGTCAGCGAGCGCGGCCAATAGGGGTGCGCCCTCGTCTCCATGGCAACAACACCGCGCCCTGAGGGGAGGGAAGGCGGAAGTTAGAGGAGGGAAAGGGGG